TATTAAAGGCTAAAAATGGAGGGAGTGTAGAAATAATTGAAGACAAAAAGAAGGAGCTGAAAAACTGAAGAAGCACAAGAGAATACTGCTGAGAAAAGAAAAAGGCAGAGTAGGAAACCAAGTACAAACAGGGTAGGATGGCAGTGCTGTTGAACAAAGCACAGGACAAGCAGGGTTTCTGGAAGCTCAACCAGCTTGAATGATTACGATGCCAGACCACGTGTAACTGTACTAGAAAAAAACACAAGAAAAATGATTTATCTGAGTCATCATAAAAGTAAAATCATTGCAGTTAACAGTAAAATAACAAAAATTCAAGCTAGATGCCTGTGCAGTGCCTTACCCTCAAAGGTTCAGAACTGTAGTATGCACAGGTTGCTTTCAGATACGTTCCTGAAGGTGATTGGGTTTGTTCTTCAGAAATTCCAAGACTACTGCAGAATTAGTGTCCTGCTAACACTGAGGAAAGCCATCTCCTCTTTCCATCAGTAACTAAAGTAGTTCCTGACATTGCACTATATAATGAGCTCCTCCATTCTTACACTTTTGGAATGATTTGCAAGCATTTGCAAAGCTCTTTTATTTAATCCAGAACTCTTACCTGTTACCCTTTCTTTTTTCTTTCTTTTCTCAAGAATGGCCAGAATTCATTTTATCAGCATAAAGTGATTCCCAGAAACAGCATAACGTTGGAAAGCACCTTTGGCTCCTATTTTCCCCACCACAAGATCATGTAATTCATAAAGAGTACTGTTTCCCAATAAGCCAATATTGGATGGAAACACCATTGTTCCAAATGAGCCACAAAGTTCCAGAAGAGCAGCCGAGGACAAGGAGACTTTCTGGGAAGTAACAGGACTGCCAAAGACAGAAGCATGTGTATTTCTGAGGAAAAAGTAGAGAGAAAAAAAAAAAACACTAAAGGACAAAAAAAAAGAATTAAAAAGACAAATATTATGTTAATTTAGGGAGACAAGTCTCCAAGACCACTGTTAAACAATATAGGATATTGCCATCAAGGGGCCCATTGACTGGTCATCTCATGCTCACCACATGGCAAAGGACTGAGCTGAGATTGCTAACTTTTGAAACATGCTCAGACTTCTCATTTTTACAGAAGAGGTAATACTAAAGAGCATGAGAAGGTTGACAATGTAGGTGCATCAGAAACGCAGGCTAGAAAGAAGACATAATTTCTCTTAAACCATTTTAAATTTCATAGTAGAATGATTTCACAGAGTTCACAGAGACAAGCTAGAGAAGGGGCACATCTGACCAAAGTTACCACAGTTAGCACAAGAAACAACTCTTGAGTCTTATTAACACAAAACATCAAACACTGATAATGTCAGCATTCACTGTTGAATTAGTAAGGTCAAAGGACAAAAATAATTGGTTTTAATGAGTTCTCTATGACACCCAACCATTTCTGGTGAGTTCTTCAACTTGTTTTTCTCTTCACATTGCACTCTGTGCTTAGCCCAAGGCAGTTGCATAAGAGCCCTGACATTATGAAAATATCTTCTAACATAATCACACTTATCCTGTCTTTGGTGGAGATAGGTTATGGCAGCACAAAGTCAGGCCATGGCAGCACAAAGTCAGGCTGATGCCAGTGCAAAACCAAGTAACACGAAGGAGTCCTCCACTTTTCACTGGGATATAAACCTAGAAGGATCTTCAGTAGGAAAAGCTGCCACAAACACCAGTACCCTTCATTTTCTTGGAGCCTCAACACTCACATTTCCTCCTGCAGTGCCAATTCCTGAAATTTATTTATGTATAAACCCACTGTACACCAAAAAAGGGTTAAGTTTCACTTTACAAATTACCTATCTATATTCAAATGAAAATAAACATCCTAATTCGCCAAAGAGAAACCATCAAGATACTTGCTTAATGATCCCAGGAGCCTGTTCTCTCTGACTGTCTGCTGGTGCCATTACCTGCAATTCTTTATGGTTGTATTATCATCATCATCATATATGGACTTAGTATTCCAAACATACCAGCTTCCCACAACTGAAGGGCTTCTTTACATAACCAATTATAATTGCACTGAACGCACTACTGGTTCTGTGACGTAAAAAGAAATTAAAAGAAAAAATCATCAAGCTTATTTTAACTTTAGAGAGTTGAACCCAGATGAAAAACTAAGTCAGTAACCCACAGAACCCACTAATTAATTACCATATAGATGTACGTCTCCAATCTAATGGACATCAAAATTTTAAAAAAAAAAGTAACCCATTATTCACCACCAGTTTCAATTACAGCTAGGAGAATAATAACAGTTAACATATTCTCTGTGGCCTGGCTCACACCCAAGAGATGTTTCTTGGGAAGAAGCTCAGAAGTAAAATATAGCTTGAAAACGAGCAAGACACCACTTTTGAAGTCTTCCCTCAAAAATCAAAACGAAAAAATCCCACCACCAACAAAAAAGTCCCCAAAACCCCAGTTCTCCCCTTTTAAGATAACTACTATTTTCTTAGAGTAGGACATTGAGATTAACAATTTTATCCATCCAATCCTTCAGTAAGATGGACTAAATCAGCATTAATTTGTTAACCTTTGTAATATTTCATGTACTAGTGCCATATATGTCAAGCTAAATTCCAAATTAAATCCATTTAAGAAAATAGAAAAGAACATTTCTTACCTGCTACTTTTTTCTCAGAACTGTGAACTTTCACTGCTGAGTGAAGTTAAACAGTCTTCTTTTTATCTTTTTGTTTAACCTCCCACTCTTAAAAGGTTTAATATTACCACATGGGAAAGAAAATGCAAGGAAAAACTTGCCTAATCTGTCAATGGTTACATGCCACTTCTGTTAGTCAGCTTCTGTACCAGCTTGGGTGGACATTGCAAGTAACAACAGGGGAGACAACCTATTTTCTAACAAAAAAAGAAACACTAAGAATATGCCAGAAAAAACTTGCATTTTGAAATACAAAAAGAGCATATGGTCCCAGCAGCATGCAAAGGACCATAAAATACTACAGTTTTAAGTATATTATATATAGGTTATTTTTCATGTGAAGTCAATTTAGGTCAAAAACCATTCTGTGTGTTGGATTTTCCAACAAACTATAACTATATACAACAGCTACAGATATGAATACCCACCTAAAATAGAGAAAAAGACAGTAAGCTACTGCTTTCACAAGACACTGGCAAAGGAACATACACGTACATTAGGCATTGTTAGCACATACTAAAGCTGCTGCACGTTTGGGTTGCAATTGCAGTATACTTTCTAGAACAGTATTGCAAAACTGATTTACCTATTACTCAAAAGCTTATTCCACCTAGGTGCAAACAGTGAGTGAACAGCAACATTTACTTGCATCCTCCTTTTATTCAACAAACTTTCATTCACATGGTCCAGGTGTGACCTAAACACTCTTTAGGACTGTGCATCCTGTGCTCTTGCTGGTTTGCACTTTCCCACTTTATAAAAAACTACAGTGAATTTTGAATGTACTGAAGAGAAAGGAATAGGAAGATTCAGGGTTACTAGTGCATTTTAAGAACTCAGAGTTGCTTTAGCAATACAACTTTCACAATTTACCATTATAAATATGTTAATGAGTTTCCATTTAAAAATGAGTCATCCCATCCCACTGGAGTATGAAAACAGAACTTGTTAGATTCAGATTGTCAAGACTGCACAAGTTTAATTTACCTCTAAAGCACAGAATTAAATTAGTTTTAAGACCAAGAAGAAACGAATGCCCTTACAATTATTTAGTAGCTTTTGTTAAGTAAATTGCCAGATCTAATTCAAAAGAACTGTGATCCATTTTCTAGTTTTTGATTCATAGTTTAGGCAAAAATCTGACTCATTTTTACAGGTGAAATTGTATGATGGCATTTTAAAAGTACTCCAACTTTGTGTTATAACAAAAGGTATCATTCTAAGTGCGGAAGATCTCTATTTCCTCATAGTGAAACCATTAAACCAGACCAAACTGTATAGTACCAGAAAAGCTGCAATAAAAGCTTGGAAAAACAGTTATAAACTTTAAGGATTTAATATAAATTTATGAGACAAAAATATCCGAATAGAGAACACTAAGCAGAATCACTCAAGTGTGGGACTTTACAGTTCATTCATGTAGTCCACATTCCTGTTAAATACCCAACTGAACATCTTTATTGCCTTTTTCCTCTCCCCAAAAGCAAAGACTAAGCAAATCCTTTGCTTTTATGATCCATGTGAGTTTGCCTGGCATGCTCTCAGTTCACTCTTAGATTAATCCTTTACTAATTTGTCCCCATCTAATATGTGATACCAAACGGGGTGATACCACAAACAGTCAAGATAACTTCAAGTGGGAACTTGTCAACAAGACCTAAAATCAAAAACACGGATCTCAAATTCCTGACACTGCATGGAAAATACAGTAATTACTATGGATTCAGACAACTCACTTATATTCCTCTATAGTCACAAACAAGGCAACAAAACACTAACAGCTGCACAGGAATAATACTTAGAGGTACAACTTATAGACCTGTACAAACCAGGCATGACGGGAAAAGCCAGACTGAACACCATAAAGAAAAATCAACACTTCTACTCCATTAGAAATTATTTGAGCTTTTAATGAATACTGCAGGCAAAGAAACTCAGGTCACCACGACTCCACTCATATTAAAAAAAACCACCCCTCCCCCAAGCTTTGACAAAGAGGCTATAAATAGTTAAAAAATAAGGGTGAGGTTTTGTCAAACAATTGAAAGGTACATATAAAATAGGAAAATAAAAATAAAACCCATGTCTACTGCCCCTTTATTGGGCAGTTAGTAATGAGGATTGTTAATGCTCAGGTCAAATGCAACAAAAGATGCCAAAGGGCAGCAAAAAGCAGCAAAACTTGCATGAATATATCTCAGTTAGTAAAGACAAGAACAACTGAAGAACTATTAATGAGCCTGCTGAATGGAAACCATGTTGATTAAATATAGCATGGGCAAAACCCAGGTGAGACTTATTTAAAAGAAAAATATTATTTGAGCTAGTAATTTACAGCACTTTGTCATAAATTAACTAACAGCTTCCAAAAAAGAAAAAAAACCAAAACTTTAACAATTCACACCTTAAGACACAGAAGCTGTTTACAGAGGATGAGGTAACAAATCCAAACAAAATTTAACAAAGCATTAAAATATAAAGCATATAATTAAACCTTCATTTATATGTATTTGATTTAGTTCTAAGCTATTAAGACTAGAAAGGGGTTAGGAACTAAGAGAGCTTGTAAAAAGGGACTATAGAAAAAAGTGAAAAAAATTCCAAGAGGAATACATAGGCTGGACAAGAAACTAGGGAATATTTCAGAAAAGAAATGAACAAGGGGCATGAAAGAGTAATTAGCATAATCAGTTTACTGAAAAGGTAAACCATTCCCATATATACTTTTTCCAAATACTACAAAGAGACAATGAGACTTAAAAGCATTTCACTGAAACCTGAAAATGCTTATACAACATATAGTTGACTTTCTTAATGTCATTGCCATACCCGGTACATGCTCAGATTCACCTAATTAAAAACTAGGTATTAGAAGGCAAAACCCTACATTCTCTGCAGAATTCACTCATGAAGTTTAAGAAGCAGCCCATTGTGGAGTCCCTCTGTAGGCAGATTGTAAACAACTGGTACTTCTCATCAACTTCCTAAGGAAAACTTCTATCTTCTTAGAAGACAGTCACAGATAGGTGCTCTTCAGGATAATGCATGATCATTTTGGATTGCTCTGAATCACTGCTTTCCTTCATTAAGCTTTACCAAGCACAAGTATCACTGCCCAAATTTTAGTTAATGCACATACAGAAAAATACAGTTTTTAATTCAAATACAGTTGTCAATTCAGAAAACCTTACAGAAATAAGATTTCAAGAGTGGTGGGAAAATAGTAGATGCGTAGAAGTTCAAAAATTGTACTTGCCTCTTGGATCTGAGCAAGACTGCAATTCATTCACAGAAGTACAGTGCAGTCTCCTGGCAGTGTCATGATTAACCCCCAAGCAAGTCAGACAGTGCTGGTGTCTGCTTATCCTGCACTGGAGTTATGCACAGAGGTAGTTGTACTACTACTGGATGAAATACAGAATAGGTAAGGAATGTGTTTTAATAGCAAAAAGGTACCAGAAAACAGGTCCATCTTGCAGTTTTCATTAAAGCTATCAATGGACTTAATTATCACAGAAACTAGAAAGACAGAGCCCATTAGATACTGCCTCTTATCAAAACTGTCCTCTGCAGTCACAGACGTTTCCTTTTTAGGCCACACAAATTCCAAGACAAACAAATTCATTATTCACTCTATTTCACGTTGACAAAGTAACACCAGGACTACCACCCAAGGATAAATCCAGTACTCCATCATGACGTAATATCTTTTTTATTACAATATCCAAAAAACTGAGTATGCAAGATTTTGAGATCTCATGATCCCTTCTTCAATCTCAGGAATGTGCCATCTAAAGACTGTATATTTAAACCATAAAGGACTTTAAATGTAAAGAAAAGAGAAAAATGCATTTTCTTCATAAACATTCTGTGTGTCTCTTCCTACCAACCACATCATCCTCTGTAAAACCCGAAGATTTCTTTCTGTAAAGCAAATATATATATAGTGTTGGTAGCCCGCCCCACCCTGTCCCAAGATCAGTTTTTATTAATCTTCTGTATTAGTGTCAACAATCAGCTACAGATACATATTACTTTGAGAATTAAATACATAATCGTTTAATTCAAACAAGCAGAAGGGCAAGAGGAAAAAGCATTATGTGGATGGCACATTTGGTTGTAGATTACCAAAACATTCAGCCTTTACGATTCATTTATTCTTTCTCTAGTAATCAACTTTCAAATAAAATTTCTCTTTGTTGCAATTACAGACCAAAATACACTAGATAGTTTTCTTTTACTACAATCTTACCATAGTAGTTTAAGAAGTACTATTACAAAATGCTTTTAATTAGTGTACTCTTCACAAAGAGTCAGAGAGGCAATGTAATAGCAGAGTACAGTGTAAAGAGTGCTTCTAGGAACTAGGAATTTTTGTAATATCCTACCCGGTAAGCGATATTGCTACAGAACTCACAGCCACAACTGTTATGTCTACTCTCTCTCACTTAAGCAGCTGCGGCTTCAGTGCATTCAAACTGTGCCCGATGTCTCTGAACGGAGAGTTCTGCCTGTGTGAGCAAATCTGAACAGATTAACACTGGTTTGAATTGAAAACGCCCCTCCTTGATCTGAGCTAACTATGTAAACGTACACAAGAGAGGGGAGTTTTGAACTCAGCCGGGAAGGTGAGTGCTCACCACGGCCACCCGAGGGAAACTCTCAACCTGAAGAGAGGTGGTCGGAGATTAACAGAACTGGAACACAAAAAGAGGCAAACAAACAAAAAAAGAAAAGGACAAACAGCAACTGACAGAGCAAACACTTTAGAAAGAGCCTATTCCTTAAGCCTGCTTCAGATATTGCTCTGTTCTATAAAAGTGAATTTAGGACCTAAGGCTTGTAAGTTATAAGAGGCCCAGGTGGCCAAGTCCATCTTCAACGTCACTGAAGTGCTTTCACAAGATATAGCTTTTCCCCGTGTTCACTGGTGAAGATGGGAGCCTTTTTGTAGTGTTCCACCAACTCATCCATAGTATTAAAGCGTCGCTGCCCAATACAATAGACATTGTCCACGAGCTGCACCTTGAAATGTTTGTTCTTCCCCGACGCCTTTAGAGATACTGAGAAGTCACTGGGCTGTTGAGAAGAATTCAAAAAGAAAAAAAAATAATTACATAAACGTGAACAAAATGTAGGCGTAATTTTGTGGTTTCAAGAACAAACTGTGTCATACAGTTGACGGTAATTTGTTAGTCTTTGTTCCACAGCTCAGTGCTTTAGCTATTTAAGAAACCCAATAGCCTATTATTCAATAAATAATTGCCATTGTTATTAACGTGCACAGTTAAGTCAGTTAAGTGAAAGCTCCCCAGATGCAGTCTGAAGTTGCCAATTACATGACTAAATTGCAAATATTATCTTAATTACTCAATCTAGAAGCACGAGAATGTCAAAGAGAAGGGAAAAACTTTTATCATGTATGCCTTCCTTGCTAGAGTGCCCTGGAGAATGCAATTACTGCAATATTGCTTGGGTGAGATGAAGAAAATTCCCTGTATCACTTTTTTTTAAAGCCGTGACCACTAGAGGGCTGTTCTTGCTTTGCATTGCAAAAGACAAAACCACATTCACCTCTTATCTTCATTAACACACGCATGGGGAATCATTTCTTCCACTGAGCACACCTTCTTCGTAAAAAAGATAAAGCTATAGAATAAAAACACAGTACAAATCTCACCATTACACCACCCCCCACAAAAGAGAAAATTTAAGCACTAATTAAGTTATTCAGAACCAAACAATTTCTCATGATAAATCTCTTCATCTTGGCAATCAGTTGCTTTAACAAAGAGAGCACTGTCATCCAAACAGCCAGGATGAGGCCATTCCACTCTCTTCTTCACATGCCACCATAGGATGGTAGAAAGGACACACTGTCCCTAGCTTCCAGCTGAACTCCATCTCCAGCCATCAACCACTGCTGGCTGGTTACAGAGATAGTGTAGAAGCCTGGGCAATAAGGATTTAACATGTTGCTGTGCCTCAAATACCGATGACCATTCAAGCAGGCAAGTTAGAAAAGAATGTGGCTGGAAAATGGGGATGTGCAGAGGTAGGGCAGCACATTTCTGTGGCCAACTTCCCTGTTTTAGTCCATGGAGACTGCACGATACAGAACAGTCCAGGTGCAGGAATGGGTCAAGGAGCAGGCAAGTCCAGCAGAGGGGGATCAAGACCACCAAAAGACCCTCAAAGCCCCCCCCTTCCTCCCTGGACCCATTTCCAGAAAGGTCCAGAAGAACAGACTACACATGCTAACACATTTATATGAAGAGCAAGAAACCTAATTCCAGGGTGGGGAAAACTTACTTAGAATAAGGCACTCCCACAAAGCCTTGGTGATGCACCCCCAGGATCCTGGACACCCTGTCGGCTGGATTGATGCTAGACCCAGGACTAGTGATCTCCTTTCTTTTCCTATCTGATCTCCCTTTCACTTTCTCTTTATATCTTTTATTATTTCTTTTCCTATTAGAAGGCAGGGGCAAAACATATACGAATTTTTATGCCGAGTGTGTAGCTTGCTAATAAAATTTCATGAAGTTTTTTTGGATCCTTCTGGTTTTTGCCATTCCTTTTTTGATGACAGCCATCTACAAATCTTGGGTTGTCCCTTCCCCATAGGAGTGGGAAGTGACAGATGAGAGTATGGGTTTGTCCTGTGATAGGTGGATGGAGGCAGGTGTCGCCAGCCACCAGGAAAACATAAAAAGCACACACTAGAGTTTGTAGCAAGCATTTAATGGAGATAAGTAATGCCTGATGTGACTGTGGAGGTACTGCTGCAGGGTCTCAGTCCACTGAAGGCATAACTTCAGGCACGTGCCAGGCTTCAGACACAACCCGTTGCCACACTGCTGCTCCAGCTGGGCAAGCACTGCAAACCTGAACTTGTCCATGCTAAACAAAGCCCACAAGGGACCATCTGGCATCGCCTTATGAAACACCCCAAGCACAGCTGTGGCATTGCAGAGGACAAAGCAGGGGACTCAGGAGCCCTCGCACATTACTGCTGTCACCAGACTTTGGTTCACAAAACCAAAGCCACCGAGTCCTCTATGCTGCATTTGCAGGGGTCAGATACACACTGAGTACATACCCAAATAAGCTGTAGGACAGCATTTTCTCAGGCATGCTGTCCTTGATTCTGCAATAATGTGTGTCTGCCCTACACATCCCTCATGTTCTGCCTTATCCCAAAATCTCATCCCTTGTATCTCCCCCCTGACCTGTTTTAGTTCTAATGCTTTCTCTGCCTTCCCTCTGACTCCATGTGACCTGCTCACAGCAAACAAAGCTCCTGTGTGCCTGTTGATCTGGCTCTGGCCCAACTCCCCAGACTCACACCTTTGCTTTGTTCAGCAGTTCTTCCCCTCTTATACTGCTCAAGGCAGCAGCAAGCTCCTCATATCTTTGGACTAACCCTCTTCTACATTCCAGATCAACAAGCATCACTTCTTTAAAAAAATTTTATGTAACACCTGTAGGAGAATTACTTCTTCCACCTACAACCCAGTGTCACCAGGCCTCGACTGGGTCAGTGTAGGCTCTGTCAGGAAGGCTTCCTCTGGCATTGAGCAGCTACTGGCTCAAAATAGACAGAACACTCTCCATGTCTGCCAAGAGGAGAGGACTGGGGAGGGTGGGGGAAAGTGATGGAAAGAAATGTGCATAAGAACATTTGGGATTTCCAATGCTCCACCCAAGATATGATTTATGCCCTGTCATCCATCCCTAAGTCCAAGTCTGAAAACTGCTATTTTAAGCCAACTATCTCTGATATTAATCTCCTACCTCAGGAGCATCACAAACAAGCCTGCACAGAGCTCACACCAAGACTGGCCTATTTTCAGCACCTACCCCACTGGGTTAAAGTTAACCCAGCTGTACCAACACTGTGCTGTGGTTAAGGCCTCAAATACAGTGTGGACAAACCCTCCAGTGGCCATAACCACATAGGCCTAGGACCTGATCCAGTGGGTATCTCCATAGCCCCAGGCAGAAGCCATTAAACAGTAACAAAGCACAGGCCTGCACAAATGAAGTTCTGCAGGTCTGGGACTCTGGGCTCACAGAAAAGAAATTTAGGGCATGGGCTCCAGGCAGCATGCTGATCATTGTGCTCTGAACACAGGCTACCAGGCAGGTCTGTAGGGTCTCTCCAAGGACAGCACTGAGGGTGGCACTTACAGCAGACTAGTTGTTTAGGATTCAAAAAACAAGAACAAGTCTTGCTGACTAAGTTCTGCTGATTCCATGGGTGATGTCTATGCCAAACAAAAACCAGTAACCAAAAGGTCCTCATTTAAAACAGAAGAATTTACAAATGGGAAGTTCATAATCTGAATGAAACATTTTTTTTGTTGTTTTAGGAACAGGGAAAGAAGTTATGACAAAAGTTTAAAAATAAGTGAAATAGTCACTTCGCACTCAGCAAGGTTTCAATGTTTTCTGACAAACCATTTGTTTTCAGCACGTCAAAGTTATGAGCTTCCAAAGCTCCTTTTATCTGTTAAGGATCATTATCTTTAGACCTTTAGAAAGGATGTGCTAATGACACACAGAGGAATAGCTCTTGGACCTCTGATCTACTGTCCTACAACCCAGGTACTGGCCAGACTTAGATCTTTACAAAGTAATCTACACAATACACTAAATGCTATTCCTGCCATTTTAATTATAACTTTAATGAATGAACATTCTCCTGAACTGTTGCCTATTCTCCCCAGCCCTGGAGCTGCTGATTAGATTGATACATAAATAGAAGACATTATCATGACTTATTTTCTGTAGAATATGTTACAAAGTTTATTCTTTTCATGATCTGATTTAATTAAAAAAATCTTTAAAAAGCGGAAGGGCTGATCTAACTCTTTTAAGAGTCAGCATCCGGTGCGAGGAGATGGAAGAGCTTGAACAGCTGTTGCAAAAATCCTGAAACCCTTTATTGGTCTCAGAGTAGTAACTTCTACAGGATTGAAGTACGAACAGCAAAAGCAATCAGACTTGTATCTGTTTTTATTTTGGTTCCTTCCCACCCTAACAAACACACAAATTCATTAAAAAGACTATTAAAAAAATCTCTAAATAAACTATTGCTCTTAACATTGCCAATTCAAACTACGCTGGTTTGATGCAGTTTAAATTGGTTCCCTGCTGACCTCCTTGGATTTACTTCAAGTCTGTTTATTTTATTTACTGTTTAAGCTATTTTGTTTCAACTGTTGGCCAGTTTTTCTTCCTTTTTCATCTTAAATTAATTGCTACATTTGGATGTTTGCAAACTAACTTTTCCAGGAATAAAAGACATACACTAAATAAAGGCACATCAGAAGTAATCTTTAATCCCTGAAATCTATAGAAGAGCTGACGATTCTGCAACAGATTTACAGAGCATAGCTTCGTGACAGGGAACCTGTGAATATTTCTGCACCATCATAAATGGAAAGACCTAAACCTGAAGTTAAATCAATTCCTAAAAGAGAAAATTAAAGATTAGCTGTAATACACCTGCAGCCCTGCAGTCCAGGTGCAGTACTATTTTGAATTGTTTCCAATTCCTTTATTTTAACTCTCGCCTATAACTAAGATGACCATAAGCTAGCTGGTGCCTACAGCATGTGGAAAACAACAGGTAGGAAAACGTTCCTTTAATTTTATTTCTTTGGTCAGGAACTTCATTATCTGTTAAAAAAATCCCCCCAAAACCCAACTGACAACTCTATCATGAAAACAAGTTATAAAGCAACGTAAGAGCAAGAACAAGTTAAACAGGAAAAGAGAGTTCTCTCTTTACAATCTCTATTTGAGATTTAAACAATAATTTTGTCATAAATGGCAAGGTTGTGACAAATAGCTCCCCCTGAAAGCCTTTTACTGATTCTATACCTTATTTCAAATTTTTTCTTTCAGTCCAATTCCATTTGGCAATGCCCTTTCTCCAAGAAAGATATTCTCATGCACTTATTCCTCAAACTACTCTAGACCCTTTGAGCTCCCATCTGTGAGCCCACCCTGGGGCTCCACAACTCTTACCACTTCCATACCCAGGTTTTTCCTCAATCCTCTTCCTCCTCAGTCACCCAGCCAAAAAACCAAAGTCACAGCCCAAAGATCTAAGGTCAGTCTGGAAAGAGCCATCTGGGTCTGGGAGGGTTAATTCCTTTTCCTAACCTTTTTACCTCATTTGGACATAACCAAATACTCTTCTCCCCCCTATGTAATGTTTGCCATGTTCTGAAATCATTATTACACAGGTCAGAAACATGAATTGGTTCCATTGATCTTCAAATATAGCTCTAATAAGATTTCTGTTCTTCCATTTAAAATAAACCACTAGGATATTTCCTTATGCTGGTTTTCAAAAAAAACAAAAACTTTCTCCTCGTGTCCGCTGCACTCATCAATCACTGCATGTCACAGAACACGACCAATTTTCGGTTTTTAAACAGTTGTCACATTTCACTGCTTCTTTCCAACAGTTGCAGGATTAAACCCCCAGGAAAATATGGAACCATGAATGCTACAGAATTAGCACCTCAGAAGAACATACAAACTCTCAACCTATGCCTCCTCCCTCTATTATCACTATTACAGGAAAAAGAACACAGGAGCTAAATATAATCTCAAAGAACTGACACAAATCCAGTCACACCCACGATCTTCAGTATCCTCTTAATACACCTACAGTTGTCAGTGCCATCTTAAAACTATACCCTGAAACTCCATTTAGGATGGGGTACTATTATTTGATAGCTGTGATGCTACCAGTAGAAGGTAGCCATTACTTCCTAATGAATAATTGCTCCTGAAATCATCAAAAAATTTGCATAGATCATTCGTGCTAATAAACAGAGCTACTCTGAGAAAAATAACACCTTCTCTGCTTCATGAGAAGACCTAATAGGACTACGAAGCACTGGTGTTTGTCTAATCACTAGTTTTGCACCCACCCACAGCAGAGGGCAAGGGGCCCACAAGTTCTGACAGAAGCTCCCTTTGAAGCCTAAGGGTGTCTGCAGCAAAGGCTCTGCTCAGAAGCTAGAGCTGACATACTACTGCTTCCTGTTAGCTACAGCACTAGCAAGCATACTTGTTTCCCAGGGTGAATCTGAACAAAACAATCCTCTTCTACCCAAATTTGCTTCTCTACTTAGTGAAATCTGAGATCTTCAAAGCATGATGATCACCTACCCGGCCCAGTGGGGTAGGCCACCAGTGTCAGCCAAGACCTGTTTGTCTTGTGTTAGGAACTACACAGAGAGAACAAAAATTTGACCGCTGAAGAGCCTGCAATTCAAAACGGGTAAGAAGGTGCTGTACAGAGACTGCATAGGTTAAATCTACATTTTTTGTCGAGGGGTGCTACTTAAACAAGACTATAAATTTCATCAACCTAGCAGCCCGCAAAGAAAGAACAAATCAAGCAGTATTTCTAACTAGGCATGTGCCAGTTCTTTTAGATCTCCAAAACTAAGGTGACATTACCTAGGTGTAACAGATGCAAAAACGTTATCAGTAGGTAACTGTGCCTGTTACATAAACCATGGGCTTAAATGGTTCAAGCAAGTTTATGGTTCTAATAATAGTATTTCGTAATTAATGAAGATTATCAGGCTCCTAGCTAACTTACAGAGTTCATCTCAGGATATTCTCCACCACGGCAGCATCCCTCAGATGTAAGTGTAACTGAAGACAATATTTTTGGCTAAAGGAATCTAGCTGTGAGACAAACATCTGGTAAGTTAAACCTAGAGAAACATTGTAAAATCTTGCAACTACTAACACTTAAAATGGAAAAACATGACAGTCTCATCAAGAGAATACAGAATAACACAAACCTTCCTCTATACAAGGAGAGCTTTTCATAACTCAATAATAAGAGCAAAACTCAAAGAAATCCAAGGAAAACTTTTATACAGATGAATTTTTGTAACTATGGTGATGGAAGGCTATAGAAAACCCTAAAAGAGGTCAAAAATCAGACACAGAATTAACAGAATGATTCACAGTTTTATCTATGGGCCTTTTCAGAAAGGAATAACCCCTGCATCCACAGCTTTAATATGTGGGTTCGCAACACAATGTAATGGGAAGTGCTGTCTGGTGGAAAGAGCAAACCGGAGAGCTGACAACTTGGCTCTATTCAGTCTGGTCTCTCTAATCAAGACCTTTTGTTTGGATTGTGCAGACACTCCTGGTGACTTTAAGCCACAGCATGAACACCCTCTGTAGTCATGCATGTGAAACACAGCAACCTTCAGGAATTTAAGCGTTATTACTAAACCCTTCATTCCATACATAATAAGCTTGAAATAGATTTTTTATGATCTTCTTCTCAATGCTATCAAGTATGCCCATTCACTTATATCATTCCTGGCACTTCAGGGAAAAAACTAGCAATCCCCAATGTTTTATAATTCACATACATAAACAAACTACATGATGGTATGACACATAAAGATTACAGCAGACAAAAGTTTGAGATGCAGTAAATTATTCCTTCAAACCTAATAAAAACTAAAACTCTCAAATAGTACTAAGACAAAGGGGGCATTTACATGCATAACTACAGTTTTCTCATTGCTAAAACAACCTCCAAATACAGGATTTGCAAGACCTGATCAAGAGTAGAAAAATCAGGAAAAAAGGTAAGTTCCCCAATTCGGCATGTTTTGTTTTTTTTTTTTCTGTGGGTGTGCAAAAAACTTGCTGTAATATGAATAGAGTAAATTTTCTGGGATTCCAGTAAGTGTTAGATACCGGAAACAGTTTGAAGACCACATTCTGAATTAATCTTTTTGCGTTCCACAAGCAATGATCTCTCCAGCAACAATACAGGCAGCAAATTTGAAACTACAAGCATTCAGCGTCATGACATCATATTAAACTAAAAGGTTGCTGTGTTCTAGCATTTAGTGTTATGACGTCATATTAAACTAAAAGGTGTTTTTTCAAGGAAATTCATTTACTCCAGAGATAAGAGGTAGACTCCTAAGAGCAAAAAAAACCAAGCCATGGTGGTCACTGTTTTTTAAGTAATGTATTTCAAACTGTTCTTCTGGTACTTTCCCAAAAGGCAGAAGAAAGTTGATAGCTACAGTCTCAAGGTAAATCACAATGCAGCATCCAGATCTGAAAGTGAGTTTCTACCTGCTGGACAGACACAGCAAGATTACACAGCATCCAGTATTCTGCCTGCCCCTATCAGATAGGATGCTGCCTTGGAGAGACAGCTGAACTACTGTAATTTAATGACTACCATAATCCTCCAGTGACTTTCTACATTTTAGAAGACCGTATGTCCCACATCAGTCTTTTCTTCTGTTGACTAAACAGCCTCTGTAAGTCACTCATGATTTCTAAATTCCTATTTTTCTTCCTGTCCTTCTCTGGCCTATTTTCATTTAATCACTATTTTTCTTCCTGTTCTGCTGTGGTTTATTTACATTTGCCTTTATTTAGTGATTACAATTAAGTAGAAATAGGAATTCAATGACACAGAGTTTCAAAGAAAGGGTAGCTTGACAGCTATCATGTCTTCTGCAGCACAAATTTGTCAAGGAAAGATGCCTGAAATTTAATCAGGCAATACTGTAGTCAGATAAAAATATCTGAGATTGTTACAGAATTGTACTTTGTCAATTTTGTCAATTATACATATGATGTAAGATTAAAATCTGTCATCTTTTCAAAATCACAGTCAAGGGACAATTAAATTTTGAGTGCTTTAACTGTGAATTCTCTGGCACACACTGAAGTCCTTTCAGATGAATTTTAAATTTGAACTTTCAGAATTACAGTGAACCATAATCAGTATTAGTTCTATCCCTCTGATGCCATCACGGCTCAATTTACAAGGCATATGAGCTGCTGACTTGACCCTCCCTGTTGTATATCATAATCTTACCTAACTTTACCTTATTAAAACCTAAGTGATCTAAGTAGATCAGAAATACATTAAAATGGGACTTCAACCAATAAAGAATCTATGTAGTTATTCAATTAAAAGAACAAAATGGACCAATCCAAAGACTATTTGAAATTAACTTTAAGATCAAATTAATGACCAAATTTTCTATTAGTTAGAATTATTTCATCTTGTAGCACTGTAAATTTGAGGATTGCATGAGAAACACAAGAAAAGTCAAATGGAAACTTGAAAATTTACTTGCTTGTCCAGTAATTAAAAAAAACCCTGGATAATACAGACCACAGCTGTGAAATTTCAGTGTAAATGCCACTGCACTAACAGACTGATTCTCACAAGCAGTAAGTGTATTGGTTGGTAGCTCTGAAGACTTGTTGGCTTCTTTAAGGGTGAAAAGACAGGGGATCTACTCACTGCCATGCTGGTACCCCACGCATGGGAGATTACAAACCTGCTGGGCTGAGCACCACTTACCGAAGATTCACTGTCTCTAACAAGGAAATCTCCTTCCACTCCCCTTTCGTTCAGGGCACATTCTGCTTGGTGCCGGGTAACGTTCCCGTAATACCATTCTCTTCCAGCAAACCGTCCTGTAGAAGATGGTCCCGTGTAGCTTATCTGAGGTGGATGAGAAGTGTTAATGGTAGGACCATCACTAATGATTACTACATAGTTTTTAGGAACAAGACCAATTTGCCCTCTGGAATTTTTACATTTCCACCATTCTGGGTCATTTTCAGGCTTTTCAATGACTTCCATCGTTTCCCCTTTTTCAAAGTTGAGCTCTTCTTCTGTGACGGAGCTGAATGGATACAGTGTCTGAACAATGTGGAGTACTTTGGTGCCCTGGCCATTACTCATGGAAGCGCCTTTCCTTAGGCTGAGAAAGCTGGGTGAATCTGCAGTTGCCTCCTCAACCTCCTCTACCACATAGTTCGAAGGAAACCAGCCGATCTGTCCGTTGTAGCTACCTCTCCACCAGCCGTCGCTGCACTTCTCCATGACAATCACTCGCGATCCTTTAACAAGGGACAGTTCATCCTCCCTCTCTGCAACATAGGCAAATTTCACGTAGGCTGGAATGTTAAGATCGTAAATCCGGTCGGCGCTGCTGCCGTTGGATGGGTATTCCGCGTCTGTGCTGGGAGTGGGTGAGGCATCTCTCGCACTTGTCTTTCTCTTGGTTTTTCCCAAGCCTGTAAACGACAGAAATGTAAAGTGGTCACTTGGAATGCTTGTCCCCAGACTGCAAACACTGGATTTGGTGACATGCTGCTCCATCACTTCAACAACACTGCTAAATGGAGATCTCTTCTGTAACACTATGTAGTCAGGAAATAGCAACACCTCTAAGAGATTCTCATTAACATCCAGCTGATGCACCATTAGGTAAGGAGCAATTTCTGTTACAATGACTTCTATTCTCTTCTCAGAAGTAACAGAGTTTAAACACACTTAAACACACTGGTTTCTTCCCTAGGAGAAAAGCTAGTCACTGAGATGTTTCAGAGTTTGCTCTTAGGTATCTTAAAATTCCAGCCAAATGACGATGCCCTTTAATTTTAGAGATGACTTTAATTTGGTTCAAACAACAAGTGAAAGAAAATCTACAAAAATTAGCAAGCACAGAAATAAAAACAAAAGTTTGTCTGCAGATAATGTTTTGCTCTCTTTGTTCTTCAGGCAGTCCCCTAGCAGGCACAGCTGCAACACCTTCCATCTGCAAACCCCCCTCTGAAATCCACACCTCTTTCATCTACATTTCATCATGTACTATAACAGCATAAACCTGACGGTGAGGAAGACAATTTGCATATGTTTCCCTATAATCTGTAAATTCTGATGTACTGTCACAGCTTTATAGTGTGAAATACAATGCACAGAAGTAGCAACATTAAACACGCAATTTTTTTTTCCTAATTAGAGGAACCATGCTAATGACTGTTCAAATATGGAAGAAAAACTGCACAACACAGTGTACTTTCAATCTTTTGCAGCAAGGACTGCTTTAGCGCACATATAAACAAAACAATAAAGGGAACAAGCAGCCTTCTCCTGTAAAATTCGCTTATAAAAGTTCTGAAAACAAAAGACAAAAGTCTCAGTATAGCACAAACCAAGCAACACCCAAAATGTCACACATGGGGCAGAAAGCAAAACCAATACTGAAATAGGAGCATTTGTACTTTTCTCCATGGTCCTAGAGCCCAGCTGGCAGGTGAGATACTTAGCTGAGACACAAGAGCGCACACACCAATTATGGAAGATTGAATGGAAGGAAAATAAAAAAAGGTACTTTGGTTTTGTTTCTTCAAATCATCTGAAATAAGGAGATGCATGGTATTTCATTTTTAACAATTCAGTACTATTCAATCTCGCCACTCCACTGCCAAAATGTGTGTTTTAATATATATGGATATATATGTACTTGCATATACTATGAGCATCTTCAGCAAAGCTGTTTATTCAACACAAAACTTCTTTGCTTATTTCACAGGCTTATCTGTACAGCACAGACAAACAGTACACACACAACTATGCAGAGATCGTTGACCAGAAGGGTTAAATACACTAATTAATACAGTCTTATGGTCTCAGAAGATGGCAGAAAATTCTGATCATCCTAAAGTGTTTCCTGACCTGCCCCAGCAGCTCCTTGCTTCCTGCTGGAGCCTGCTACATCCTAATGTCATTCTAACTACATCATTTCAGCCGAGAGCCGGCAGCTGCACTTTCAGGCAAAATGAGGGCAGCTTATTGTACTAGGGGAGACAATCACAGGAAAAGAGTGTCCAAGCGAGCACTAATCGGAAGCTGGTCGGGCTCTGATCTCTGCCAAGACTGGAAATTTTTATCAGTTTAGAGATCATTTTTAACCAAAAGACAAGAATGTATCAGAACTAACGAGCATTAAATTACAGTGATATAAACAAACACAACTTAAGGGTTGTTCTGTCAAGAAAGGGGGGAAATTACTTGTTGTAACTTCATGGAAAACAAGCTGCTATATTTCAATAAATTCACTCTACATAAAGCCCTCCACTGAGACTGAACCTTGCAGATTAAAAGCTAAGGCTTTTATATGCTCTCTAATGAATATATGCAGCACCACTTCTTGGAATCACAGCAGAAGAACTAATAAAACATAAAACCCCCAGTAGATGATGAAGTAGCTGGCCAGGAGAAAACTAGGTGAAAATCAGAGCACAGAGATAACTGTGAGAGATGGGGATGCAGTGTGATAAGAGAATGCCATAAACTGAAGTATCTGGAAAAAAAAAGTTGATAAACAGGTGAAAAAAACAAGTTTCTAAAAAAACCCTCTGGAGTCTGATAAAGGTATCTAAACATTTATCAAAAGGTTATAATTCAAGCACTTTCTTTCACTTGAAGTTTCATAAATTTCATCTTTTTTCACAAACCTTCCAATTGTGCATGTGACATTTCAAATGTTCCTTCCTATCCTCCCTGTTCAACACAAATCATTACAACTTTAGGAACACAGAAATTAGAAACTTCACTATGGGTTTTTTTACCAATAAAGGCAGCTGGAGTTCTTCATTTTAAGCTTAACATTTCATGTGAACAAACTTTTTAAGGCTGACAGCATGGTAATGATTAACCTTTTGCAACAGCAGCAATGAGCACTAAAGAGTATGTTTCCAGTTGGTTTGACCAAAGTAACTACCTATGCAGAAACCTAGCTGCAGTCAAGCACAGTGAAAGGCATGTTAATTATCTAACAATCATTTTTTCTGTGAGGTTACAATACTCATAACTGCGTCTATGACTGAAGAGGAAACAAGTTGTTCCATGAGCAGAATGAAGGAAATCTGTTCCTGTTTTTCTCCTTATACCTCCTGCCGCACTATTCCTCCTCTGCCTCCATCTCCTGCAGGATTTAAAATAAGCCCCCCTACCATATGACTGCCTTCACATCTCCAGGTCTTTCTCATATCTCCAGTTCCCTACTGCCATCTCCAAACTGCCCTCAAAGCATAATTCACCTCCCCTGGTGCTGCCCTCCTCCCTACCTTTGCTGGGCTGGCCAGCCAAGCACAATGCCTGGCACACTGTTGTCTTTCAGCCCTGCCTGGACTGAGCAAAGATCTGGGATTGTTCTGGCTTCTCCTCCAGTGAGGGAAACCAGCAGTGTGCCTCCCAGGCACAGAGTTGGAGAAAACTAGTTAGTTTATCTCTGCCAGTCTGTCAAGTTTGCCTAAAATTGGCTGAGTTATCAAGGGTGGACAGATGGACGGACGATGACAGCTGACTGTGACAGCATGACTAGTGTAAGCTTCATTTCCTTAGGAAACAAGTCTAAAAATATAATTTAATAGGAGAGTTGGTCATAGTTAAGCAAGAATAAAGTTCGGATTATCGTAAACTTTGTATATGCATTTATGACAAAACTCACAACTCCATTAAAAAAACAAAAGTACAGTCTACATGAGTCATCTCTAAAAAGAGTAAACGCCATCATTACTCACTACGAACAGAAACGTTCACTTACTACTATTTGCAAGGGTATCCCTATTCTTATGTCCGAATGGAATGAAATCCAAATAAAGAATTTCATGGAAAACAAAACATTCAAGCACTTTGGGAGTCATATTCAGAAAAGTCAAATATATTTGCGATTGCAGTCATAATTTTGGCATTTTTTATTATCTTTGTTCTAATGAAAACTTACCTACTAGTGAAATACAACTGTATTTTTCCCATTCTGACTCATTGGTTACAGTTCACCTGAAGCCATAATCCTTTGTAACACAAATAGTTGTCAAGAAGGAGAAACCTAAAGCAAGAAATCAGCTTTGAAGTGAAGGGAAAAGGGTGGGAGCAAAAAAAGTATTGCAAAGCAGCAGAAAGCCTGCTTTATGTTACTGCAATTCATAGGAAGTAACATTGTTCACAGTCTACAACTAATCTACAATAAAGTAGTTCATTTTCACTCTTGGCAAACATGTTGCCAAGTGATGTAAACATGTTTAATTTTTAGGCTGATAAACTGCTGAGATAAAGAAAAGAATCAACTAGTTAGCATCATTTCCAGAGAAGGGATCCACTCTGAACTCTCCTTTTCTCTGCACTGAAAGAAATCCTCTGGCCCCATGTTTAGTCCTAGGGAATTCAGAAACATGCCAGTTGCATCACTGTGTTCCTGCTTCCTTTCCTAGCTCAGTTGTGGCTCTAAAGAATAGCTTATTTTTTGAGCAGGAGGCTGAAGACCAGTTTCCTATGAATTTGCTTCCTGTCTCTTAAGTTTCCATTGTGCAAGGCCTAGCTTAGCACCCTTTAGTTACCGTCTTGTCCCTGCAATGGCCTTCCCATTGTACCCATAAGGTCCTCCAGCTCCCACCTCTCCCAGTGCCCTCTCCCCACAGTGCTTCCAGCCTTCCCATCTCGTGCTCCTTAGACTTCTCTCGGAAACGTCTTGAGCACCCCCAAACCTCAAAGTGGTGGAATTTCCTTCTGGTTGCTCTTCTTTGGCCTGATGCTGAGGTAGTGCTACTTCCCCTACCCCTACCTGTGTCTCCTGCCATGCTGGCCACACTCCTGGCCCAAACTTTGGCCACCTGTCAGACAGCACAGGTGTCGTGACTGCTCAGACTTCTCCTGATAAAAACAAAAGGTTTTCTCTCTCTCTCTCTCTCTCTCTCTCTCTCTCCTGCTTCCAGTGAAAGTACCGAAACAAGGCTGCATAGCTACGATCTTTATGAAAATTTGTTCATAGGACAAACGAGTCTAGTTATCTTTAAAACATTATCTTAATACATACTTTAAGAAATACATACATAACACTTGTATAGAGGGATTTTTTTGTCACTAGTACAAATTTTGATTCCATTTGCTAATTATGGTCTAATATTCTATACTATCTTTAGTTGAAAAAGCCTATTTACAAAAGATAAAATTTCCTTATTTTAGGAAGGCTCATTTGATGAGTCTTTCCATGTTCCTGTGAAGTGGTGTCCTTGCCTGAAACTGGTAAGTGACTATATTTTGTATTTTAACTGCTCTTGCTCATCCCCAGAAGAGACTCACTGATGTGGCTGTATAATAAATTTCTGCAGCCTTATCAGTATTCAAAGTTATTTTTTTTAAGTTCTGATTAAGAATAACATAAACTAAACATGAAGGTATTTGCAGTCAAATTGTCTAGCAACCTCTTCCCAAGACTGCTCTCTAAATT